ACTGAAGACAATCCAGACTTTCCTCAGGTACAACATCACATCTCACTGCACTGACCATGCTCTATAAGAATCTGGTTCAAACATCCTGACTTTAACCAGAGTCATGAAGAAATTTGATTCTCAGTAACAGAAGAGCAAAATTTATGTACAGAAAATAAAAACAACATGACTGTTTTATTATTTGGATTTGTTTAATAGAAACACAGGCGTGAAACAACTTGGTACATGTTTGATTGCTTTTGAGATAAATCTATTTTGGAGTTGTTGCCCCCCTGGAGAAAAATCCACCAGCAGCCACTGGTGTCTCCACACCAGCTGAGGGACAAAGTCTCTCCAGCATGTCCTGGGTCTTCCCAGTGGGACATTTCCCTAGGGAGGTGTCTGGGCTCCATCCTCACCAGAGGAACCTCCTCAACTGGCTCCTCTAAATGTGGAGGAGCAGCAGCTCTAATCTGAACCTGTACTGTACCTGGGTTACCTGGACCACACCCTGAAGCCAGGCCCGGGGGAGGGGCTTGTCAGTCAGCACATTCTGATCATGTCTCCAGCCATGAGGCCCGGTCGGACCCAACAACCTGTGAACCAACCTGTCAACAGGGTGTTGAAAACCCTTGGCACTATTAGTGGTACTCCTTTTTTAAATCTCACTGCCAATTTACAGTCAGCTGTGGACTGAAGCAGTTCTAGGGGGGTCCAGGAGTAAATTCCTCCACAAAATGTAGTAAAAGATCTACTCAACATTTTCCAGCCCTTTAAAGAGTACTTTAGTAAATCAGTATTTTATAAAGGTAGACGACTGAAAACCAGACTTTAACCTGAACTTTATCTGGGATCATAACTGGAACATTTATTTTTTTATTCAGTTTTCTGTTTCCACACTGAGCACCAGGAGTTAGTCTTGACTTGATCTTCTGAACCATGTAACCCTTCATGCAGGAACAAACTACCTTCATAAACCTGAGATTATTCTACAGAATAAATCAACTGAACAATAATAAAAAGTTTTTAAATATGTTTTTGACCCCATTTGTGGCGCCCCCTGGATGGATGGTGACCTTAGCGTTTGCCTACACTGCCTCTGCCACAGACCGGCCCTGGTTGAACAGATTAGTTACCAGGTTGACCAACGTGTACCGGACCAAAAACCCACTGTGGGATCAGTGGTCTGGGTCAGAACTAAAGTCAGAATAAATGTGGTTTGGTGTAGAGCAGAACAAAGTCTCTAAAGGTTCATATAAACCTTCGGAGCAGTGAATCACTCTGACTTTGTAATGAGGGGTTTGTTTTAGTGGTCCTGCAGCGCCCCCCAGAGGACTGCAGGTCAGACAACATGACTCTGAGCTCAGATTAACTTCAACACCTGGGATTAAGGAGTGGGAATAAATAGGAACAGAGTGAATCTGATTATTGTATGTGTGAGCTGCTAGCTCTCAGACTGTGTTTTATTGATGCTCAGCTACTACCAACAACTGTTAGTTTAATGTTTGTACAACAGAGACAGAAGAGCAGGGACCTGCAGCTCCAGAAGTTAACAACACTTTCTGTGAGTCTCTTTGTAACCAGACACAGCTTCTGAAAGACCTGAAAGAAAGAAAACATTCAGCACAAACTGCACACAGAAGTCAAACTTAAAGTTGTTTTTGATGCCTGGTAAAATAAGTTTTATTTGAGTAAAACTTGACTTCCTGCTGCTGATAAAGATCATCCACATGGTGGCGGTGTTGCGTAATAAAAGTGTGCCCTGAAGTGGAGTGTTGGATGAGGTTTTTGTACAGAGCTGCAGGGTTTCCTGTCACTGTGGGCCTCACGGCGCAGTAAAACACCGCAGAGTCCTCCGCTGCAGCCGACACAATCCTCATCTGGATCAGTTTACCTCCCTCCACTCGGACCTCCAGACCCGAGACCCGACTGATAGTTACTGATCCTGAGGAGGTGTGGGAGATGAGAAACTGTGGTGGTGCTCCTGGATGTTGGCGGTACCAGAAGAAGAAATCTCCAGGTGAAAACTTTGTGTACTCGTAGGACAGTAGGACTGGGTTTCCTATCAGACCAGACTCTTCGTCTTTAACTGGACTCAGGTCTTCACACCTCAGTCCTGCAGAGACCAAACAGATCTTTAACTTCAGTTCTGTTCTGGAACTCTGAGACAGTTACTGAAATATCAGACAGGAATATTTACCCAAACAGAACAGAAAAGATAAAGTTAGAATAACTCACCGGCTCCCAGAAAAAACATCACAATAAGCACAGAAAACATGTTGGAACTACCAGAAGGACTACACTAAACCTTCTAACGTCTCAGAGACAACCCTGCTGCTGCAGCACAGGAAGTCCCGCCTCCTTCTCATGATGTGACAGGAAGTCCCGCCTCCTTCTCATGATGTGACAGGAAGTCCCGCCTCCTTCTCATGATGTGACAGGAAGTCCCGCCTCCTTCTCATGATGTGACAGGAAGTCCCGCCTCCTTCTCATGATGTGACAGGAAGTCCCGCCTCCTTCTCATGATGTGACAGGAAGTCCCGCCTCCTTCTCATGATGTGACAGTTACAATAATCAGCAA